ACGTGGAAGAGCAGGAAAAAGAATATTTGCAAAAATAAAATAAAAAGGTGCAATAACTCCCTCCCCACCGACACCCACACGCAATTGTGCCTCTTATTATTACCCGACACCTTCAACCCTCGCACCTACCATGAATGAAAAACAACAACACGCGTCTCAGCGTCGATTCATGTAGAGAGTCATCATGGCATCCATGGCGCCGTCCTTGTCGGGCACGCTGCCCAACGCGAGCTCCAGCCACCGCCGCACCGTGCTCGGCCGCACAAGTGCCGCAGCGCCCTTCCGTTGGCTCTCACACTCAGCGGGACAAAAGACGTATTCCAGCAGATATCGCAGCAGGCGGGGACCAACGGGTGCGTTGTCAGCACCGCCAATGCAGCTTTCCTGCCGCATCCACCGTCCCCACTCGCCCTTCCAACCGCCACCATCATCATCATCATCATCGACAACAATGGCAGTACCACTCGTGGTGGCAGCCGCACGTCGCTCGTTCTGTTCATCCCGCAGAATTGCTGCGCCAATGGTGTACGCAATGCAAAAAAAAAGTTGCTCCGTCGGCGGTAGAACAAGCGCCATGACGGGCACCGCAAGGGGCGCAGCCGCAGTCACTGTCGTCACGCCGTCCAAAAGCATCCCATCTTCGCCCGCCGCAAGCGACTCCACGGCATGCCTGCACGCAGTGACTCTCGCCGCGACCTCCAGGGACACCCGCAGCCGTACCTCCTCCAACGCGGACTCTGCCGCCTCCTCATCCTCCCCGCTGCTACTGCAATCGCCTGCTCGCACACCAAGACGGCCAAGGTGTGCTGCCGTGGCATCTAGAACCATCTGCGTAACCCTGCCGTCGCTCGAGACGCCCCTCTCCGCCTCCGCCATCTCATCGTGCATCGCATCGTCTTCCTCCCCACTCGCGCCGGGATTCACCGGCTGGCTGCCGCTGTTGCCTTTCGCCGCTGCCGCCACCACGGGCACCTGTTCGTGGCGACAGAAATGTGTCACAGTGCAGAAACACGGGAGCGCGATCCACGGAATGGCAGGCGCTGCCGCTGCCGCTGCTGCCGTCTCCTCCTCCTCTCCCGACCCAACGTTCGTGCAGACCGGAAAAAGCAGATGCTCCAGCGCCGCCTCCTGCCGCTCCTTCCGCCGGTGTTGTTGCTGCTCGGTGGCCGCTGGAAGCTGTAAGGGTGCATCCGCGCGGTAGCCGCCTTCACGCACAGCAGTGCACACTGCACACCACGCCTCCTCGCAGGGCAGCGGCTGCCGCCAGTACGCCAGCTCCTCCTCCACCCGTAGCGCCTCCTGCGCAACGCGAAAAACCACCACCACATTGGAAAGGCCGCTCGATTCGCAAAGATCACCGGATGGAAGCACACGTGCAAACCGCTTTAGTGCCTGCATCAGGCGGGCGCGGTTCTTCTGAATGGCCCTGCCACGCCGCAAGAGATCGGCACGGAACAATGGCGTGAGGGCCTCCGCACGCGCAAGCGCCTGCTGCTGGCGGATGCGGTCACACGCAGCGGCCACACGTCGCCGCAGGCCTCCTCGGTGGCTCGCAGCCTCCCGTATCGCCGTGTCAACTTCTCTCTGAAGGCTCTCAGCGAAAGCGGCGGCCATGTTCCCTCCCTGCTCCTCCGCACCCTTGCCTTGCTCCCGTCCCACACCCCTGTCCCAACTGCCACACCCCTCTAGTTTTCACGTCCCCCTACTGCTGCACAATCCCTGTCCGATGCCACTGCCACCTGCGGGCATCAAAATGAAGGAAAAAAGCGCAAAGAAAAAAAAGGTAGTAAGACGCTAGAACCGGCGGAGCCACCCTCGATCCGGCGCTGCAGCCTAAAAGAAAAGGGCTAAACCGTGGAGCAACAAGGGGACACACAAACACACACACACACACATGCACACAACCGCACGGCCCCCTCCACACAGACAGAGGGAAGCAAAGAGAACACAGCAGCAAATGAAGGGCGTCCGATCGCTAGTGGTAGCCGGTCACTGCGGCCGCTCCAGTGCCTGCCTTGGAGCTTCCGATCCGCTGCATCTCGGTGTTTGCCCGAAGTATCTCCTCACGCGATGTCTCCAGAACCATGCCGCCCATCACCATTTCCATGAGCAACAGCTGTACCCTGTCCGAGTGGAAAATCAGATCTAGTTCACACACGTTTTCGAAGGTGCGGTCAAGCGCCTCCACTAACACCTGGATAAGATCGAGTATCGCCAGCTGGGACTCGCTGCTGTCCACAATGAATACAAAGCAAAGCGTGGCGTAGTGGCGGTACACCACACGGGTATCGGGGGTGGGCCAGTCGCGGAAGTTGTCCACAAAGTTGCAAAGATCGGCGCTGCGCCGCGAGATGAGGCGATGAATGCGGCGCACTAGCTCCTGCTGGACGCCCAGTGGAATGTCCTTTTCATACACGTTCAGCAGACGGATCTTCCCCGCCGTGTTGATGATGATGACGGCCTTGATCATGCTTCGCGCCACCTTAACGACCAGATGATCCCTGCTCCTGCCGTCCTTTTCCTCGCTGGCTTCGCGCTCCAAACAAAGAAGCTGCGAGGCCAGCAGAATCAATGAAAAGAACAGAAGAAAAGAAAGAAAAGATGCCCAAAAGTGACAAGCAACGACGGCTCTCGTTAACAACCTTTTCTCCCCTCCGGCGCCCTCACAACACCCCTGTCGGTTCTGTTCGGCCCTCGCTTCCCTCGCCAGGCAAGGCGGCACCCATCACCTCCCCTCGTCGTCGTCCCCCGAGTCCACTGTGATAATCTCGGCGCCGCCGGCACGGTTGACGTGGTCGTGGACAGCCGCATTTGAATTGGCGCCAACGGACGGGCGCAGCGGCGTGCGGGCGTTAGACTCTTCGCACATCCGCAGCAAATAGTCGACGCCCATCAAGTCCACCGCTGGGTGCTGTGCAAGGAGAACAGGCTCCACCTGAGAGGGCATCGGAGTTGCCCCCAGCACTTCCTGGTCAATGGCTGGATGCACCACGCGCTGCTGCTGCTGGGGCGCAGGGAACAGCACCAAGGAATCGGCGGTTTGTTGCAGCACCGGCCTCAAGAAAGTAAGAACGGTTGGTGGGTGCAATACCGTCGGATCGTGCGTGGTGCAGGCACTGCATGGCGGCATCGGGCTCTCAGGCACAGTGAATATTTGCGCCTGCTGTTGCTGCATCTGTTGGCGTCTTGGCGATGGCGCTTCCGGTAGCACACTTCCAATCGGAGTCCCATTCGGAACTTTAAACAATGTCTTTTTTGGTAGTGCATGGCCTGTTGCAGGAGTTGTCAGCGGAGCAGACACCGCCAACATTGTGGCATCTGCTGCTGCCGCGGTAGTGGTGGTGGGTGTTGTGGTTGGATGCGTCGACTTTCGTGGCGTGCCATCGGAGTCCAATAGCAAACGGATTCCTTGCGGAGGCGCAGGAAATCCAGAGCCATGTGTCTTCACTGGGGTGTCTTTATCTTCGATAATTTGTCCAGCGTGTGTGTCTCCGCGCGAAAGCCGATGACGGTTGGCAATGACAGTTGTTGTTTGCCGAAGCATCTCCTCCTCCACCAATGTGAGCTCGCTCACATCGCCAATGTGCTCATGCCGGAACTGCCGGTACAGACGCAATATATCCGCGCCAAACTTCCTCACCTTGTTTTTACCGAGGCCTTCCAGGTCACCCAGCTGTGATACGGAGCCCCAGCCGGGCTCAGCCAGCGTCGCCACGAGCATCTGCATTGTTTTCTTTGGCATGACGTTGTACCGCCTCCCGCCCTCTGAGCGCTCCGCGAGGGACTGCACGAGCGCCTCCATCTGGGTGAGGAGATCTGCCTCAAGCTGCCGCAACCGCGCGGCGGACACCGGTACCACCGCCTTCCGTGGCGTCTCAGCCGAGAGTGAGAGCGCAGTTGCGCTGCTTGTTGTCAAATGCACTTCGCTTTCCCCCGCAGCGTACGATGACAGTGACCGGTGTGAGTGGTGACGACGGCAAAGTTTCCTGCAAGGCGGGGAGCGTGATGACAGGGAGGTGACAGATGATCCCTCAGTCACAAACCCCACAAGCGAGTCGTTGGAGGGCGAGATAGATGACGAAGACACCGATGATGATGATGAATGCTCACACTCCGTCAATATAACACCCCCCTTGATTTCTCTCCGCCGCCCTTTACCCTTCACAGTCTGCCGCTGATTCCTTTCCACAGCCAAATGCGTAGTCTTGGCGGAAGTTGCCGCAGTCACACCGCGTTTCCGTTTACATTTTGATCCTGGGGCAGCCGTCTCACAGGTCCCGCATTCTCTGCCACTTGTTGCTTTCATGGCGGCTTGAAGCGCCTCCCGCGGTGCCGCCGCCGCACTCTCCCCGCGCACTGCAAGCACGATGCGACGTCTGCCGCTCTGCACATCGTGGTATACCTTGATGCCTACGCCCTCGCCCGCCTCAAGATACGCGCACGTGACAAAGTCCGTCACCCGTTCAAGTCGCTCCTTGAAGATTCCAAGAAGAAGAGCCTCAAGCACGACACGCTCCAAAATGAACTTCGTGTGACGCGCGCCTAGCTTGTATTCTGGTGGTGCACCCGCCTGCCGCATGCGGGTCTCAACAGCTTTGCCTACATCTGCCGTGCCGCGGTAAACACCGATCAGTTGCTTCGATGTGAGAGAGCCGAGGTGCACAATAATGTTGAACAAATCAATCACGATCGCAGAAACGTCCAACTCTCCTGTTTCCCAGCGATCACTCCTCTTACTCGCGCAGTTGTCACATGTCGCCACAGATCCCTCAGGCTGTTTCAGGCAGTAGTGCTCGTCCATATCTTCGCCAAAATACCCAAGCTGCTGCATCCGGCGGCAGTGCACATCATTCATAGTGTACGCCAACATGCGATACAGGGAGGACATGGAGGTCTTCCAGTCGTTGCTGCCATATATCATCTGCTCATGCCGCTGTTTGTCACTTGGTGAACACAGTAGGATGCATTCAGAGAGCAGCCCATCTCGTCCCGCACGCCCGCTCTCTTGGTAGTAGCCCTCGATGGACTTTGGCATCGCTGCATGAATAACAAAACGCACATCCGGCTTGTTGATCCCCATCCCAAAGGCAATCGTGGCGCAGATGACCTGTAGTTCATCCTTTGTCCATCTCTCCTGCTTCTCGTTTTTCCCACTCGCTTCGGCGTGGTAGTACGAAGCGCGTATCCCTGCTCCAACAAGCTCTGCAGCCATATTTTCGCAATCTTTTCGCGAAAGACAATAGACAATGCCGCAAGAGCGCGGGGGAAAGCGGTGCTTGATGAGGTCCACCACAACTTGACCAACAGAGCGTCCCACCTTCCGGACGGAGTAAGAAAGGTTCTGACGATTAAAGGAGCCCTTAAAGACCAACGCATCCTGCAGTCTCAGTGTGCTGATAATGTCCTGCTGTACCATGTCTGTCGCCGTTGCTGTAAGTGCGGATATGGGTATGGCGGGAAAGTGCTGCTTCAATATGGCCAGCTTACGGTAGTCGGGCCGGAAGTCATGGCCCCACTGAGAGACGCAATGGGCCTCGTCCACGACGAAGCGGCTCAACAGGCCACGGCTGGCGAGGTGCACAAGACACTGCACAAAGTGGTCGCTTCTTCCAAAATACTCCGGGGTGACGTAAACCAATGTATGGACAATACGTCCCGATGCCCACTCCGCAAAGAGGGCCCGCCGCGGTGCGTCTGACGTCTGACCCGTCAACGCTATTGCGGGAATGTCGTTTGCGATGAGGGCGTAAACTTGGTCTTGAATGAGAGAGATAAGAGGGGAGATTACAATGGTCACCTGCGCCGGGTTTGGCATCAGTGCAGGGAGTTGATAGCAAAGTGACTTGCCTCCTCCTGTTGGAAGCAACACAAACGCGTCACGGCCATCCATGCATGCATTCATTATCTCCAGCTGCAAAAATCGGTACTGATGAAGGCCAAACACATCGATCATGGTCCGTCGCAAATCCGCCGACCAGCTAAAATTTTCCCCACTGTAGCGGTTAACATAATTTACCGGAAGCTCAGCAGAGGCCCTGGTAGGGGAGCTCCGCTGCTGCAGGTGGGATGACTCCTGCTCGTACGTCTCCCAACTGAAACGATGACGCGCGCTTTCCGTGGGGAGCCGTGACTCATGTATTTTCCCCTCCCGCAGTTCAGGGTGAAGCATGACATTTGTGTTCCTCTCCCTCTCTTCTCCCGCAGCGCACGCCAACTGAACGAGGCGTTGCGCCCTCATAGCAACTGCGTCGGGGGCAACGCTGGTCATATCAAACGCGCCACCACTCCGATCAAGAATAGGTAATGACGCATTCACATAACTGAAACAGGCAGAAGCAGCTCCCGGTGTGGTTGTGAACATTTTAGGCGTATTCGTTGTAGAAAACGCAGCCGCAGCGGAAGAGGCCGAAGCGCATGAAACGCGTCCACCCATGTTGGAAACGGGACTGCTGCAGTCACTTGGTGGAGGACGCTGAAGCAACGCCGCCTGTATTTGTCGCAAACGAAGAAATTGCGCCTCCAACTCAGCAACGACTCGGTCGGTCTCGAGAATGGCTGGTGTCACATCATGCTCCTCGTCCTCCTGCAATATTAGGTCGTCGCGCCGCCTCTGTGCTTGCCGCAATCTTTCTGTGACATCAAGCATCTGCGTCTTGACCTCTGACAGTGTCGGCGATGTGAATGGGGAAAATGATGATGGCAGCGCCGGTTTTGCTGTGATGCCGCCACTCGTCTCCGAAGTGACATGTGTGACGCGGGCCCTGCCCTCGCCGCCGCAAACTCCACGCGCCGCCGCAACTTCGTCCGCCGCCACGGCCGGGTACACCGCGACGGACCGCACCAACGCATCTCCACCACCGGGTGTTGCCACCCTTGTTGCCTCCGCCACCACTGACGCACCATCAGCATCAACCGCCGCGAAAAGCCGCCGCGCCTGCGGAGGGGAATGTGACTGAAGTTGCGAAAAAAGCGACGGGAGAGCACGCGGCAACGGGTCGTGGGCAAAATGAGCAGCCACGACAGCACCCAACTCCGAGACCCACTTGTCAATAACACCCCCCACCCCTCCCCCTCGCTCCATCTACTTCTATACGTGTGTCTGTATGCAGGGGCACAGGATGGTGAGTAATGGATCGGGTCTGCCACCTGCACCCAAAATGGCAGAAAAAGAAGACAATGTTGGCCCCAAAACAACCCCTTCTCCCTTTTTTCCCTTTTTCTTAATCCAGTAACAAACACAGTTCGGCACTAAAAAGCTGAAGCCTCGTTATCTCCTTGAAACGTACCACGCAAAAGTTGCAAGAAGCAAAGACACACACATCACAGAGAAACACTTGCCACTTTGGTTTGGGGAAATCCAAGTAGCAACGGCTAAGCGAAAAAATGACCACAGACAATATCACCTAGAAAACACCACGCAGATCAAAGCGACCCTCTCATATATATATGCATCTATGGAGAGAAGCGACCCCAGAATAATAATAATAATAATAATGTCACGCCGTGTTCCTATCGGTCCACGCGCAACGACCCGGAAATAAACGGGATGAAGGCGTTAACCCACAAAGATGCTCCCACCAAGAGATTCGCCGGCATCCGCAAGAAAAGAGGTTGTCAACCTTGCGTTCACTCATTGGACGGGAGATTTTTTCGACTGCAGCCCCTCGAGGGTATCTTGGGCCTCCCGACCCCACGGCTCCCCCCTTCGGCCCCAAAAGACCCCGACCACGTGCCAGTCCACCCGCCGCACCGTATTTCGGTCGCACAAACAAAAACGCCGTGTGGGCACTCTCAGCCCGTTGGCCGGTCCCTCCAACGACGTGTCGTTTGCGCTGGTGGCGGGGCTCAGTGGAGGGCCCGCCAAAACACATGCCGTCGCGACCAGTCGTCCCGCTGCTGGGGCTTCAGCACAGCATGGTGATGTGGGGAGGCGCCGCCCCGCGCCCCTCTGCGACGCCGTGGTCGCCAGTGTGGAATGAGAGACCGCCGCACCCCCAAACGGAGTGCCGGTCAACAAGAAACCGCCTCGCGCGTGCCTCCCGACGGCGCATCCAAAGCAATAACCTACACCCTGCCCTCACCGTAACCAAAAGAAGAAAAACAAGAGAGAAGAATCGTGCCGTCAGCGCGGCGCGTCATGCAAGAAAAAAAAACAACAGCAAAAAATGCACGACACGACACCCTCCAGAGGCGCCTCAACTCGGCTCATACACTAACGAAAAAAGAGGTGCTGGAAACGCCCAGCACACCGCCCTCCCCGCGTGGGGCAAAGTGTTTTGTGTGGGTCCTCCCGAGGCGCGCCTCATCATTACCAACAGACGGGGAGGAAAACAAAACAAAAAAATAAATGGGAAAAGAATGTTTTCAAACATGTTGTTTAATCAAAAAATATTTGGCCTGACCCTCACACACACTTCCCCAAAGATGAAAACAATTAACACTCGCAAATTAAAGACCAGTGCTTTTAGGGTATTCGCCTGGGCCGCTGGCCGGATCCTGAAATTAAATATAAACAAAATACGAGAATGAGAAGGGGGTAAATAAAAAGGCAGTGGGATCGCCACTTCCTCAATGTCTGCTCCAATTAAATAAATTTATGTATTCTGATGGCCACCCTCGTGGCACGTTACGCCTTGTTAGAATTAAAACATTTATTACTTAAGGCGTGCTGGATTTTGGGGACTTCCAGCCAGAAGACCCCGCCGCGAGGTGGAAATCGAAAAAAGAGGGTGAGTGAAGTAATGAAAACTAAAAATAAAAATAAAAAAATTCCGTCTTGAAGTTCTCGGTTTCTTGACTCCTCAACCCGCGATCCTCCAACAATTAATAAGGAAGAATCGAAAAATATATATATTCGTTTTATTAAAATGTTTATCAAGTTAGATAGCTAGCTTTCCTCGCGAACACCCTCTTCACAACCTCCTACTAATCACCGCTTTCAATTATGTCAGCTTTGCTTCTTGAAAAAGAGCGCAGCTTCCCTCAACTCCCCATATGTTGCACTTGCATGTCGTTCACAACTGTGGAGTACAACCCCTCATCAACACGCTCCTCTCCTCCTATTCCAATAACGACTCCACGATGAGGTAGCAGAGCAATTCCTCCTCTCAGTGCCTTCCTTTCTTTGCCGCAATTCATACAACGCAGCTCCGCCCCTCTCCACATTTTGTCCCCTTGCACTTGGTGAAAACGCCATCGCACAAGAAACAGATCCCTCGTCGGCTGCCGATGGAAAAGAGAGGCAGAGAAGGAACACCGTGTATCCACCCAAGTATACGTATATCTACGTAGCAAAACAAGCCCACACTAGAGAAATAAATACCAAAAAGGCCTACACGGCATGTTAATGCTTGCCTCCCTAAACTCCAAAAAAGGGCTCCTACCCTGTT